CGCCGCCAACGCGGCCCGGGAGCGCAGCCGGGTCCAGACCCTGCGCCACGCCTTCCTCGAGCTGCAGAAGACTCTGCCCTCGGTGCCGCCCGACACCAAGCTCTCCAAGCTGGATGTGCTCCTCCTGGCCACCACCTACATCGCACACCTCACCCGCAGCCTTCAGGATGAGGAGGAGTCACCGGGAGAGGGCTTGGGCACCCTGCGTGGGGATGGATACCTCCACCCTGTCAAGGTAGGAGGGCTGAGGAGCAGCGACCGCCTTCTGCCAGTGAGCGAGTACACTGGCCTTAGATATGTAATTGAAATGAAAGATTTCAAGTTCCTGTACCTTGCCTAGAGGTATTATGGAAATTCCGCCTGGACTAACTGCTGTACCTAGGTGTTAGGGCTCTGATGGAAATATCTTGGAGCTTTGTTCCTCCAGCTTCAGGGACTTTGCACCAAAATATCAAATCTAATGTAGATCAAAACGTGGTGGGACTTGGTTTTTGGAAGTGAAGGTCAGTACCACAGGAGTACTTGCATCTTCTTGGTCCCTGTGTGGAAACCTTGGTGATCCACATAGACCCACTGGATCCTTCTGTGAGGGGTCTGTGTGGTGAGGTCACACTGCCCCACAGCAGAGATCCAGCCACAGCTGGGCTTTGGTTCTGCTGCCCAGGCAGCCCAGTGCAGACAGAGGCGTTAATAACCAGCCATGTGTTAATTACTTCCATGAAAGTGCTTTTCTGAACCATTTCTCTGGTTGGTATACGCTCTTTCCTTTATAAAAAAAAATAAATCACAGCAATGCAGAAGGGATGAGAAAGAGGAACTGCTCTTGGAGACGACCAGGCTGGAAACTGTTTCCAAATGCAGTGCTCACTGACTGATGGGGCTCAGACACTGCAGGGTGTTTTCTTTGGCTCTGCTCACAGGGAATGAGTTAGAGCACTGGGGTGTTTTCCTTTCTTTTTATTTTTTTTTAATTTATTTTAAGAGTCTAAATTCAGAATTATTTAATTAAGATTAATTTGTGATGTAATTTCTAACTTCTAAAAAGTGCCCAATTCACAGAGAGTTCCTTGTTCACAATGTTGGTTGCTGTATTTTACAGCATGATGTGAACGTAGGCTTCTGAGGCCATTTAAATGACTAGCAGACTCATAAAGAAAGCAAAACCTCTATATCAATTAGAAGATGGCTATAATTTAAGTAAAAAAGTACTGTAATGTATTTCAAAATAAATTCAAAATAGCTTCTGTTAGTTCCCTCAGTCAGAGTGAAAGGACACAGGTCTCTTATGGTACTTTTTATCAGCTGCCAACTACTACTGGCAGAAAAATACTCTTAGTAGAATAGTTATTAAAGCAGTTAAATAATCCAGATGCTCATTTCTCAGGCTACAGGAAGAGAGCAATACTGGATTCATGTAAGCAATTATTTTTTTATAAATATATTTGATGAATGTGTCACAGTCACAGTGCTTCAAAAACCCCAAAACACAGGATATGAGACAACCTTTAAAGTCTTTAACTAAACTGATAGATTAAGCATAGTAAATGCAAATAGTGAGGAAAGTTAAATATCCAAGTTGTGTGTACACTGAATGAATAGTACAGTTAATGACTTTAAACATGGATGGTTTATTGGTGACAAACTCTTAACATCACACTTGAATGAAATTACTGAATGAGATAGTACAGTTTTTCTAAGTAAGAATATGCTGCTGCTTTAGGTCTTTGAACAGAAGAGCTGAGATTCATCTGCAGTATTATTAAGTGCCCCTTACCCAAAGGAAAGGTGCCAAAAGAGTCTTTAAAAAACTTCATTACTTTGGAACAACGTGCTGGCTGCATTTCAGGTATTTTTCCATCCAGTGTGTGCAACAAGTTATCTCTTCAAGCATCTGCCTCTTTAATACAGAACTTGGCACAGCAAACGGAGTAGGATGCTCCCTCCCAAGTTCTGGGTGCCCAGCTGTGGCCACCTGCACCACAGGGCTGTTTGCAGTGAGTAACCTGCTGGGGTTAAGAAACACCAGCTGTCAGAATAAGTACTTAACACCAAGAGTAACTGATGATTCCAAAAATCAGCGGGTGTAAAGATGTCATCTGAAATTGCTGGAGCTGACAAGGACAAGAAGCTGAGAGCACTGAAGACTGCTAAGGTGCAATTACATTAAATTCCTTTGGACTCACAGCTTTCAGCAGCAGCCCCTGTAGTGTTGTGGGGCCCAGCCAGCAGGGACGGGTGTGCACACGGGGCTGCAATCCCTGCAGGTGCAGATGTATCCCTGTAGCATCCCTGGTGTCTTGAGAATGAATTCTTTGGTTCATTCTAACAGAGCACGTACGACACAAACTGAGCTAGGCTGACTGGCCAGCATGGCCTGCTCCTGTGGGCTGGGAGCTGTGCCTCACAATTAATTAAGGCTGAAGCTCCCTTATCAAGCTCCAAACGTTTTCCAGCAAATGACAAAACAGGAACTGTTTGGTGATAGCAAGTTACCTATTTTCTTTTACTGTGATTCCATCAAATCTTTGCTGAGATCTGCAGTTGGAGTGCAGCGATCCTGTGTGTCTCAGTGCTGTGCTCTTCTCCTCTCTTGCAGAAGTGGCCCATGCGTTCCAGGTTGTACATTGGAGCCACGGGACAGTTTCTGACTCACTCGGCACAAGGAGACAGCGCAAATCATGGGGAAACATCAACATCTTCACAGATCTAACCTCCCCTCTTGCTTTTAAAAAAATGGTTATTTATTACACCTTATATATATATATATATTTAAGGTAAAAAACTATCTACAGACAAACTATAATTCCTGAAATGCTGTTTGTAGAGGAGAAGGAATTGATTCTTAAATGTAATTAATACTTCATTAAGTTAATGTTTTTCTATCATTGCTGCGATCTGAATGAGGGGGAGTGGGAGGTGCTGACTGCAGCCAGCTCCAATCCGAGCAGCAGCAGCAAAGAGCTGGCAGCAGAGTTAAGTATCCCTGTCCTCTCTGGGAGAAGCGCTGTGAGAAGAGAGAGGAGGATGATGTGCTAATGGCCAAGTGCAGGACAAAATAGGCTTGGGTGAAAAAAGAAGGGCAAGGCTAAAAATAGGAACTGTAATCCCACGTAGACTTTCTCCACTGCTTAAAGCCGATGGCAGAAATCCCCTGACTGCAGCTGTCAGGTCAGGGCTCCAGCCATCGGATAGTCCTACATGTTTGTAGCTATTGCTGGGAATGTGGAGGCATGTTCACGGAGTAAAAATGTGCTGGGAGACCTGTCCCTCCTGCACAGAGTGCTGTAATTTGGAAAGTATCCTGCTTGTATCCACCACAGGACTGTGCTGCATGTTAGGGGCTCAGCCTGTGTTTGCTACCCCGGCACAACCACATGTCTGCTCACCACAGCACGGCTCATTTCACTTCAGGGGTTCACGTGTTGGGGCAGGTGAGCCCAAAGTGTTGGCTTGTTCATAGCACCATTATTCACTTAAACATCTGTATTTAGGCAAGAAAAGTTGAAACCAAATACACAAATGTCATCTGTTGTACCTGTTCTGTAAAACGCTGTACTTCTCATATAGTTTGTTATTGCTGAGGTAAATGTTCTATTAAATATTATTCAGTGAAGATTAGTTTGAGTTGCCAAATCTGTTATCAGTTTCTCATTGTACATGATAATAATCTATAGGTGCTGTCTTCTTTCTGAAAGCTTCAGGATTTAAATTTAAAAATGATATTTGGGAAACAAAAATATTAGCCAGAACAAAGTCTGGAGCTCTCAACTGCCCCTGCAGCATTCTGAGCGTTTAACAAAATAACATACTTGGAAGGGACAGTATTCAAGAATGAGAAAAAAAAAAACCAACAACAACCCAAAGAATCCTCAGTGTTTTTAAAAGCTTATTCCTTTAAACATCATTGAAAGATTCTGACTGCTTATTCAGGAAGCAGAGGTTTGGTTGGACATCAGGAAGAATTTCTTCACAGAAAGGGCTGTTAAGCATTGGAATGGGCTGCCCAGGGAGGTGGTGGAGTTGCAGGTGGTGGAGTCACCATGCCTGGAGGTGTTCAAGAGAAGTCAGCACGTGCCACTTGCACCACTGTGATCAAATTGACAAGGTGGTGATCAGTCAGAGGTGATCAATAGTCTTTTCCGACCTAGTTGATTCTGCAAGCATGAAAAATGCTTTAACAATAAGGGTTAAAAAAGGTGGAAAGTCATGAATGGATGGCACAGTGAATACATCTCAGACTCTTTATCACTGAGCTGCAAGACCTGTATCACTTTTTCATTGTACATAATACTATTCTGAACTTATTGATGTTGTCTTCTTTCTGAAGACTTTAAATTTTAAAATGACATTTAGGAAAAAATGAAAACAAAAAAATACTACCAAGAGCAACTTTTGTAAAAAAGTATGGTAAAATCTGGAGCTCTCTACAACTCCTGCAGTATTTATAACTAAATATTTATAATGCTCTGCAGGCAGGCAGAGAATCGGAGCAGCAAGCACTGGAGCTACTTGCTCTAGCCATATCCCTAAAACTTTTCCAGCATTTTATGGAATTATTATGGGCTTGTAAGAACATGCAGAATTAGAACTGCAGTTTTTCAGTTGAGTTACCCATATTGATGAGTAGGGTTTGTTTGTTTTATTATTGAGACAGATTATTCTGCATCAGAATTATGCCTTTCCTTCCAGAACCAAGACACCAGCTAAGGCAACTAACACTTTCTTCGACTAGGACAAGAGCTTTTATCTTTCAGAAATTTACACAGCAGGATAACAACAGATCCTCTGAACCAGTTTGCTTGAAATCTGATGTTTGGTTCCAGTGCTACATTTCCTAGGAACAGTTCATATCCTCATACGCTGAAACACGAGAGTTTGGCATTTAACACTAGCAATATGCACGCGCCTAGGACAGTTGTAAGCTCTATACACTACTATCAAAAGGTGGCATTCTTCACGGAGGAACCTAAAAGCTCTCGCAAACCTCGATCATTGTCATCACAGCTTTTCCCTCGGAGGGCTGGGACAGATGAGCTTCCCGCGGCCACAGCAGAGGCGCTGCTCTCCCGCCTGCTCGCGGCTCCCGCGGTCACGAATCGCTTTCCCGCAGTTCCCAATCCCGCCCCTCGCCGCTTTCCCCGCGTCCCTGTGCGCGCGCAGCCGGAAGGCGCCGCNAGCCTGATAGGTACAAATTGAAAGAGGGGAAGTTGAGGTTAGCTATGGGAAGGAAATCCTTTGCTGTGAGGGTGGTGAGGCCTTTGGGACGGGAAGGTTGTGAGTGCCCCAGCCCATGGTGGTGTGTAAAGCCGCGTTGGATAAGGCCTTGAGCAACCTGGTCTAGTGGGCGGTGTCCCTGGCCGGGGCAGGAAAGGGGTTGGCACTGGATGGTCGCTAAGGTCCGTTTCGGGACCTTTAACATTCTGTGATTCCGTGATCCTGCGTGTGGATCCGCAGCCATCCGTGTGATTCCTCAGCCGCCCGACCGCCACCGTGCCCCTCGGAACTGGCTCAGCAGTCCAGGCACACGCTCGTCTGAACAGTGGGGGGATTTCTGGCCTTCTCAGAGGAATTAGAAATGCTCCCATGTGGTTAATGTGAGAAATCCCGACATGGCAGGCCAAAGCAGTGGCCGTAATCTCAGGAATTGCAGGGACAGCTTGCAGGTGCTTTTCTAAACAGCCAGAGCTGTCACTTGGAAGAGCAGTGATTGTCACGCTGCCGTAACTGTGCCTGTGTTTGCCCTGGGCGCCGGGCTGGAGTTGAGGCTGACACTGCAGCCACACAGGCTGCCCAGGAGAGCGGGTGCCGTGGGAGTCCGAGATGGACGTAATTGCTGTGTGCCACGTGGTGCTTACCTCGAGCTGTCTCTTGGCTCATCAAGTCTTGAAAGGAATGACAGATTGGACACTCACATACACTTGGTTTTGCTGACAGATCGTTTTCATCAGCAAATGTCTGTCATAATCCAAAAGATAAATGACCTTCTTTTTCCTTTAGGGAATTGGGCAAGGGCTGTGAGGTGACCCAGACTTTGCCCTTTTTTGGGTTATAGGCACAGATCCTAACTGGTGGGGTCGGGCAGGGACAGGGCCCCAGGAGTATCAGCAGCCTCTGGGGTAATGCTGTCCTGCATTACAGACTGCAGTGTGAGTGCTGACCTCAATTCAACTGGTGGTAAAACGTCTGTGAGTTCCCCAGGGTGTCACATGTGAACTGGGGTTAAAGGCTGTACCTTGCCAGGGTGCTCCTCTCCCCAGCCTGGCTGGTCATTAGGAGCACTGTGCTTGTCCTGCAATCAGTCATTCCTCACACTGTTTAAGGAAAATGGTCATGCCTCTGCTTAACATTGATCTCAGCTGATGCGCTGTCTATCCCAGGTAATTACAAAGAGAGCGTGGGGTCGGTGTTTCTTGGACTGGCTTTCTGTTCCCAAAGAAGTGTTAGTGCTTTCTGTTACTGGCTCAGCAATGGAGCTCTCTGAATCAAACATATTTTCATTTTTTTTAGGCAGAAAGTGAAGCTCAAGATGAGTTTGTTACTGGCTTTGGGAATCCTCAGTCTGGACTCTGCCTTGCCTTGCAAGCAGAAAGATGCCACATGAATTCTGAAGCTACAAAAGCAAGTATTTCTTACTGTACTTAAAGATGTTGAGGGAAGCATCATGAAATGCAGATCAAGAGTTCTGAAGCTGTTTAATGGCTTGGAAAGTCCCTTACAGATGGAAAAAGGAGACATACGATTGTATGTAGGGTTAAGAGATTGAAATCCCAACAGAAGGTATTATGGCAGCTATAAAATCTCCTGAGACTTGCTTCCCAGAACAAAGCAGGCGCAATCCAGGAATCCCAAAGGAGTCAGAAGGGAGAGGCTTATATCAGAGAACCTAGTTTTTAACTGGAAAAAACATGACTTCTCATTTGAAGTCTTCATTGATGCTAGTTGAAAGGGAGAGAATTAAGTGAAAAACACTACGCTCACAGTCCGTGCTGGCACTTCAACTGTGTCAGTCTTGGAATATATTCCAAAGGGAAAGGTGACTGGTAGTGAGCTTTACCTCTAGAAAGATACTTGGCATCTGGGGTTTGAGTGTAAGAGAGGGAGCTGCATTTTTGTGCCCAAACAGAGCAGTTTTTCTCTTGTTCTTGGCTGTGCTCAATCTGTTCTATGCTTAAGAGTTAAAATGAAGGCTCTGCTTCAGCTTATGGAAGTACAACTCTTGAGACAAACTTAAACAATTCCCTTGTATTTAGATTCTGGAAAAAGCAGTCTTACATAGGCAGGAAACTGCTGGCATAGTGATGATGACCCTTTGCCGTTTACCCAACTGAAGGATGTGATGAGCAGTGTTGTATATCTGATGTGCCAGCTAATCTGTAGGGTTTTTCCACTTTGATTTGCTCCTGTCATTTCTGATTTTATTTATTTTTTCTTTAAGGCTCTGTGACATCAGATGACCACCTCCACTGTCTTCCAGCCTTGTGTATGCACACAGGGCCAACAGGAAAGTTCACCCACTTGTTGAAGTGTGGGTGTTTAAGGAGGTCAGTTGCTTTTTTATTGTCAGAGTACTCAGGCTCCTGCAGGCTGTACTGCCATCTGGGGAAAGCCTGTTCTGGCCATGTTGGCAACCACATCAGTTCCTTGTAGTACTGCTACAAGTCTTCCTGTTTTCAAGAGCTCATGGGAGAAACTGAGGAAAAGCAAGGATAAAATGTTGTGCTCTTTTTGCAGAAGAGTTAATTCCTTAATATTACTTCTCAAAGATAGCAATTTATAAAGGAATTCTATTTCAGTCTACCCTTAAAGAGTAATTTTTCTGGCATAATGATGAGACTTTTGCCGTTTACCCATCTGAATGTTTTTTGATGTGTATCTTGAGATCTGAAATGCCAGTGAGGGTAATACCTTTGTGTAAGATTAAGTGTACAGGAAATTAACTTGTTAATGTTCCTAGCTTGAAAACAGCAGCCTAGAATGTGGAGCTCTAATGCACTTGGAAATGCTTCCATTGCCCTTCTTGCTCATCAGAAATACTGCTTGGTTCCATAGTATGGCAGGGGAGTAACTGTTCACTGAAAATTATAATTGGGAATGAAGTTCAGGGTAGAGTGTCACTCTAGACAGAAGAGTGGCCTTATGGCCAGTCTCAGAACTTAGTATGAATTTTTGAGTGTATCAAATAAATGGATCAAAAGTGAATAAGGTAAAGATTAAAATGTGGGGAAATTTGTGTTGCCTAAATGAGTGTTTATGATGTTAGCAGTGAGTATGAATAAAATCTTGGATTTCTGTTTTCAGTAACTTATTTGAGGCTATGGGAGCACTAGCACTCTGATCCTGCTGGATGATGTCCTGGGTAGGAGTAAAACAAGCCTTAAGTATTCAGCTTGTCCAGATTTGACAGGAAATCTGTACAATTCTACTGCAGCTTTTTTATTTAACGTGTATCTCTTGGATACGAGTCTTGCTGAGGATTATGTCTAGTGCTACATCCTTACTAGGAAGATGAAACACAGGAAAGCCCATAGCTGGTGAAGCCTACTGTGATCCAAACACCTCATCTCCTACCTCGCATTCTTCATTTGTTTTTACACTGAGGAAGAGTTGAACTCATTGAGCTGTCTGCCTAAAAAGTTGTCTAATATTTTTATATCTAACTGTAGCACTCTACTGTCCCCTGCAGTCCATATAAAATAATGTGGAGACACTGGGTTTTGCAGGTTGAGGTGGTTTGGTGGGTTTCTTTTTGTAGTTCATTTGTTTTGCAGGCTTTTTTGTTTTGGTTGCAGGAGTGTCTGGCATGCTTGCTTAATCTCATGGTAACGTAAAAAAAAAGACACAGAACATGAAGCACTGTGATAATATTTTATACATTTCAAAATCTATATACCATAAGACTGTTGACTTAAACTATTAAAAAAAGAGTTTTAATGTTCTTAAAATTCCTTAACCTTTTGAGTGATACATTTGAAAGGAAGTAGCAAGAAAAACTGCAGAATTGAGGTAGCTGTAATAAAACATTAGATTCTGAACTGGTGGTTTAATTTTCAGTTGTAGTCTTATTAAAAATCCCAAATCCTAAATTCCTTCTTGCATAACTGTGAATGGAGAGTGGTAGCCAGGAGGACAAGTTCTGGTTAGGACTGTATTCTGAAGCCATGGTTTTCCAGGATGAAGACATCCCTCCTCCCTTCAAATAAGTCAAAAAACTTGTAATTCAGGTCCTGTCTGCTATGCTTTATTCCTTGGTAAAACATCACTGAACTGTCTTCTAAGTTTTTAGTAATTTTGTATTTCTAACTGTAGCCTCTCAAAAAGCCAGAGCCTCAGACTTTACTTCCAGTGGAGATTTTACTCTTCATTAGTGTTAATGTGAATTCCTGGGCTATAGGCAGCAATAAACTTCAGCAATTGATGGTGACACTGCATGAGGTAAATATCTCTCTGTTGCAGGGAGCTTTCATCACTGAGGTCAAATGGAAATACAGGATTTGGTGCTACACATAATGCAGATGTGCCTAGGCAAAGAAGAAATTAAGCTGTAAGACTTGATATTTGCCAGAATTTTGAGGGGGAAAAAAAGAGCTGTGATGCAAATTACTTAGAGTAATGCAATCCTAGATCATAATTCTTACCTTCCATCCAAATCTGTGTATGAACAAATGACTGATGCTTAATAAACAAAAAAATATCCAACCCTTGCTTTTGGTTTCCCTAGGAAGGAAAATCTGTCCTTGGTTTAACCTTAGCCAGTGTTAGAGGAGCAGTGCCTTAAGTAAACCAGCATGAAGGACAGACTTGTTGCTGGCCTGTGGCCTTGTTACATATAGCACTGAGACAAACTGACAGACTTCTCCAATACCAGTCTTCAACAGTGGAAGTTCTGGATTCTGATTTGATATTACCTGCTATTGCAGTCAATGGATGTAGACTTCTTCCAGACTGACAAAATGTGACAGTGATGCACCCAAGACTAAGGAACTGTTGTGCATTATTTACCATGTTTTAGGGTCAGCGATGACTCAAGTAACAAGATGGCAATCACTGCATCTTCCTCAAGTACTCTCTGTCTTAAACTAAGCTTGGCATGAGCCTTAGCCAGTGAAATCCTAAGAGATCAATATAAGCATGTCAGAAATAAAACATACTGCAGGCATGAATGCAATGTATATTATTGTCCTGTGTCAAGCACTTGTGTAAATTAAAAGTTAACACTGGTGTGGTTTCTTTAATATTTCAGCTCTGCAGTTACACTTACCACTGACTAAATATATATTCTACATTAACTTCTTGTGCTGAAAAGTGGAACTTGCATGTTATCCATTAATTCTTTTTTTGCTCCCATAATAAAGCTGTACATATTTAAATCCCTTTTTTTTTTTTTTCTAGATGGCTTTAATAATGATACAAATTCTGTAAATAGCTGGGTTTAGGGTTTGCTTTTTTTTTTTGCCTGGCAAAGTTGAATGTGGGTTTCTTTTAGCAGTGTCAATATATGAAATAAATGGCATTCATAAATAGGAAATAAGATTATTTATGCTTGAACTTTTCAAAACATGAGTCTTATGTAGATTTTTATTAAACAAGCTCCTGAGCAGATAAGCACAATTTCTCTTCAGAAATGGAAATTAGGACATACAGAACTTTTAGTGCAGAGGCTGATAATGTAGATCCATGAATGGAATCTCTTCTCACCCTGCGACTTCCAAGATAATAGCCCTGAATGAGACTTTCTGCTTCTGAACTCAGTTCAACATGAAGATTCCTAGCAAACAAAATAAACTAGAGAGAGGGCATACATTTTAAATACTTAACTGGAAAATAAGGAATTGACACTTTTACACACCATTTAATATACCAGTGGCATAGTAATACAAGCTGGACAATACATTCTACCAATAGTTTCAATAATAAAAACAGTTGTCACCATTTGGCTATGCTGAATAAGGAAAATATAAAGGATAATAATAAGGACAGGTCTTTGATAGTAAACAGAATTATAGAATGATTTGGGTTGGAAGGGACCTTAAAGATGATGCAGTTCCAACTCTCCTGCAGTGGGCAGGGACAGTTTCCACTAGACCTGGTTGCTCAGAGCCCCATCCAGCCTTGCCTTAAACACTTCCAGGGTGGAATCATCTGTTAGTTATGCTACAGATGCTGACAATTGAATTAGAATGGAATATTAACTTCTACTACTGACTGTAAACGTTTTGGTCAAAAATACTTAAGGTCTGTTCTCATATGAATGTTAATTTGGTACATTTTCCAGAAACATGCTTAAACTGAATTTATTACACTGACCCTTTTCAAAAACTGAAGCTGCTTCTGTCAATGATCCTAATAGTGCAAGTGAAATATGGTGGGGGAAAGGGTAGAAAGTGAGTATTAAAAGTAAGCAGAGAGAACCTTCTGATGCCAAACCCAGTATGATATTCACAAATAGAATGTATTTCTAAATTGCTGCGTATAATCTGTTACCTCCTCATAATCCTGTGTTCTGAACTGATGTGAGGCTTTGTACAGCATGGCTTCAGGATTAATGGCTTTTTTCAAGATTTGATGTACAACAGGAGAAGACAGGCGACAGGAAGGAAACTCATTGTAGATCAGGAGCCCAAAACTATCTACAAGGTTAACTGGAATCAAACTCACATCCTAAAGAAAAGATCCATAGAAAGAAAACTACTTTATTTTGGGCTTTTGACTTGTAGAAGCATCATGGTGTTTTATATCTGAAATATCCTATATCCACTTACACTGCAAGATTATCTAATGAATTATACCTGTAATACTTGGTAAAGTTTTGTTTGAATGAAACCTACTGTTTTGGGAAAGCTATCTCATTTTAGAAGATACTTGATTTAAAGTTGCTCAAGTTGTGACTTTCTTGGAAATACTAACAAGTTTTATTGTTTTCATTATAGGTGGAAATAAACACAAATTACAGCTATAGCACAGTTCCTCTTGATAATAACACATGTACTTTACCATCTGACCAATTAGAAAATTCTCCTTTTGTATATGTTTCTTTGAGGAAGAGTCCACATCTACAAAGGACCAAAAGTTGGTCTGAACTGAAATAGTAACTTGTTGGTCAGCCTCTTCTCCATACTTCTTCCCAGGAATGAATACTGTTGTTGTTCTGCTCTCTAGCACTAGGATAAGACAAAATTCATCAGTTATGTGATATATAGCTTAGATATAAATTCTAGTCCGCCACACATCTGAAATCAGTCACGATTATGATTTTGATGAATTTTTATGATTAATGAATGTCTGTGGTGTAGCAGATTTAAGTTTACAGGACCTTGGCTTTTTTGTCTTTGTGTCTTACACAGACCCATTGAAAACTGTACAGATTTTTGCAGCATTTTGAGGGCCATAATTTGTTGGGGAACAAACCTAGCCTTGAATTTGTGTATTTATTCAGTTCTGTCCCTCATTTGTTAGGAGGTGGGAGATTACCAGACTGTAGAAGTTCAAGTTTATCCTTTTTATATGAACTTAAGTCTCCTATGTAACAGATGCCACCCTTGGCCAGCACAGCGCTGCAGGCTTGAATACTGGCACTTCCAGTTCCGTGTTTATCTTTGGACACAGAAGGAAAAATGTCACTGGAAGGTGGGTGTCGTATGCCACGAGGCAGAAGACATAAGCTATAATTCAGAAGCCTGGAGGATTAAATAAATATCGTCAGTCATAAATTATTAAAATTATTCACTTCTAAAAAAACCTTAGTAAATATTAAGACTCACTTAGAAACAACAGCAAAAAACGCTTAACATGAAGTCAGCATCAAAACTAATTGTTTAACTTTGAATACAAAAATAGAGGTTCAAGCCTGCTCTCCCAACAGCTGTCATCAAGACTGCATTTCTCATGGATTAAACATGAGGCAAATCATGGGTTGCAGAAGTAATTCCTAGGAAATCAAAGACTTCTCGTAATTTAACCCCACATTGTTAACTCTTATTCTGCAGAAACTTTTCCAGTGATTTAAAAGTTTAGAGGATTAATAATTCTAGACTTCTGGGAAAAATGGAAAGGCAGGAATTTGAAAGCTCTGCCTTCCTGAGTTACACACTCCCCTCCAATTCTTTTGGAGAAAGAATTTTTTCATCTCTGTACTATGTTCTATGGCACAGAGAGGTTGCAAATTGTGTCTGGTTCCACAATCAACGGCTCTTAACAATTTTAAGACATCAGAGCTAGGTTTGTCCTACTATTGTGACCTGAGAGAAAATTAGTAAGTAAAATTAGTAAAAATTAGTAAATAGGGTATTGCACCAATGGAAATACGTAGGAAATGCCTACTTTGACAGGCTGCTGACAGTAAATACTGTGCACATGCAAGATAGTACAAATTACAATATTGATCATGATTTACAGTGTGCAACCATTTTAATATTAACCAGATGTTTTGATTCTTAAAACACTCAACTCCTGTTTCTCTTAGGAAGTCTTAATTTTAACCCGGGAAAAAATAAATCTTGCAGTTGATGTTTTTGAAAATTGGGACTAATTTCTACTGCTAAATTTTGAAGTGGTCAAAATTTTGAGATTTTTTTCACAACAAAAATTATTAATGAATTGGTTGAATAATTTGAAAATTAAAATAAAATTCATGCCCCTTTCAGAGATCTTAAGTTATGGAAGGAGAAAGTAGCATGTGTTTTTCTGCAGTGTATGTAAAATTGTGTTACATGAATAGGTAAATGCATAAAATGCATAGTGAAAAATACTTAAGAGGTCTTAAATTAACACGATTTGTTACCAAAAAAAAGGCTGTTCTAGGACAGCCTTCAGTCTTGATTTTAGAAGAATGTTTTATATGAGCTCTGCAAAACAGCGCTAGTGTTAAATTCTCACCATAATTGTATGAGAATTTTAGGAGGTTTTATAATTAATGAAGTTCTAATCTAGATTTATCATTTGAAAGAAACAAAAATGTCCCAGAGATAAAAATTGAATATTTAACTAAGTTAGAGCCTTGTATATTCTTTTCAAACAAAGTATCTAGCTTTTCATGTAAGACCAATCCTATTATCTTTAAGACTAGATTTTAAATTCTAATTTAAATGGAAAAAAAGGAATCTCTTTACCTGTCAATTACTAGCGTGTCACTTGTCATAATCAAAAGATCCAGATAATCAGCATTTTCTTTTTCACATGTCTGTACCAGACTCAGCAATATTGTAAGTTTAAGAGTATTGTAAGTGCCTGGTGGAACAACTTGAGAAGCAAAGATGTTGGCCAGAACAGCAGTAAACCTCCAGCGTGAACTCGAAGTCAGTGAGAGAAGATACTTAAAATTCTCACTTACAAAAGAAGGACCTAATGGAAACAAAGTACAGGTGAACAATCATATTAAAGAGACTTATGCAGGTATGTTAGAACAAATCACCATTGGAGTCTTGATACAAAAACTTCCCAAGAACAAATACATTTCTGTATTAAGCACAAATTCAGAATGTAAGCTTCTGACAGTGTTAATCTTACTGTTAAAAAGGTGGCAGACATGATCTGTTTGAACTGATGGAATAAGAAAGAAAAACGCACTGAAATATCAGGTTCATTTTATATGATTTCAAAGTATTTTCCAATGGATAGGAGGAAATGGAAAGAGAAGTTGAAGAACTACAGTAAATAACTGGGGAGTTTCCCAATGCATGGAAAGTGGGCAACAGTAGATATTCTCAAATAACAGCAGAAAGTCCCCAAGTGGTTTTGTGATCTGGACCTCTAGATAATAAAAAACTTTACCAGTTCTCAAGATGTTTTTCTAGGTTTTCCAGGGTATTTTTTAAGTCAGTTTTTAATGGAACTTTCTTACCATTTGGTTTATAGAGCTTTACACTATTGACTTCTATACATGCAGTTGCTTGTAGGCCATTTTGTACACAAGCTGGAATTCCTATAATTCTGTAGTGGTTTCCTATTGTCATTTTATTGGCCAGTTCATCTGCAAATAATAAAAAACTAAGTGCAGGGGGCCAAAGCTACAGATATGTTAGGGCATAAAAATAGTTTTAAAGACATGGTCAGAAATTTTTTACACATTCTGAACAATTGATTTTGTGAATTAACATTGGCAGAAAACAGCTGGATGCCAGATTGATGATGGACTAGAATGAAATGAAACATACAGTTTTAATTCTTTAGTGCAAAAGGAAAGGAAGGCATACCAGGTGAGGGGAAAGTAGATTTCATGATAAAGAAAAGGGACAATGCATTTAGTCCTGCATTGAAAAGAAAAATGGATAGTTTTTTGCTAGTATATTTCCTACTCTGAAACTTGTGGAACCACTGTTATCAGTCAGTGTCTTATAAAATGTCAGAGAAAAAATCCAACACAATAAAGAGGAGATAACAAACTACACAGATTTCAAAAAGACACACAGATAGCTTTGTGAACCTTTATATTTCTGTGCACTTTAGAAAACCAAATCTCATATATTTTTTGAAAATGAAAATTAGATCCAACCAGATCTTAATCTCAGCCTGAGAAACACTGTAACCACACTAATCTCTAGAGCCAGCAGAAATTTAATGCATGCAACTCTCTGTATCTTGACCATAGATTGTTCTATAAATTTTTATTATTATTTTAGTACTATTAGTTCTTTCTATTTAGTTTTCAATAAATGAACCATATAATTCCATAGAGTTTTGGAATGGAAAAGGATTTTTTTGTTGCTTGTCTCAGTGTTTATTTGGGATCTTTTTAAGAATTGATGGAAGTATGTTGCCAAATTGTTGTTTTAGTTAGCTATTAACATTAGAAATCATTTAATGTTTGCAGTGGAGAGCAGTGGTAGTCAAAAATCCTGATGGAATGTGAAATCAGCTAGATTGAGGAAGGATGTTAAATATGCACGAAGTTAGTTCAGAACAGCATGACCAAAGGAAGTAGAAAGGAGATAAAAAGAAGACACTACTGGGCTGACCAGGGTATTTTAATTAAATGGGGCTGTAGAAGTGACACAAGAATTTTGCTATCTACACTCAGCAATTGTATGTGCACACTGCTTTGTCACCTAGCTACTTTCTATAAAATTTTGGGGGGAAGTGGAATACAGAAATAACTGCAATATAAATTATGACTTTCACCATTTTAGAAAAAAAAAAAAAGCAGCTACAATTAAAAGAGATTATTATAGATCAGTTCTAAAACATTTTTGACAGAACTCTGAAGTTCAGCTTACCTCTCAAGAACAATGTAAATGCCTGAATCCTAAAATGTGATTTATCAGTGGAATATCCTTTCAAAGCATTCAGAATTTTAGCATCAATCATTTCAACTACTTGTTTATCTTTCAAAACAAAGGCAAAGAAAAAGGTTAATTCTCTTGAAAACATATTTTTTTAAAAGACTGGTATATTTTAAGTGGGCTTTTTCCACTTAAATATTTTACTTATTGTATAACAGAAGTAGGAAACTACCAGATCTAAAAGTAAGATTGCATAGATCCTACCACCAAGTACTCTAAATTTCATGTCTTCCTGCAGTGGTGAAGAACACAAGCTACACACAAAATCAGTCCTCACTGTAGCAGACTCTGTAGCTCCAGGACAATGCACTCTGATGCACCTAAACCCTAAAAAAAAAGTAATAATTTACCAACCATTTAAAAGGAGGACATAGCTTTAGTTTTAAATTCCCCATGAAAAACAGAAGCAATTGAAATAACGGACAGTGAAATTCTAAATTTATTATATGTTTCTTTAGAGGAGCCTCCTTTATATATTCCACTAAAAGAATGCATCTAATTGTTTGTGTTTGGCCACGAGATGGCAGGGTTTCCTACTGCACATTCCCAAGCTGAGCAGCTTGGCTGGCCTTTTTTGAGGAGTGAGCCACTGCGGCTTCTGCCTGGCACGGGAATGACGTGGGATATGGATGGTCACCATTAGAGATAAGTGTCCTTGTAAAGACGTCCGTATGACTTAATCTGCACTCTCCAAACTTTGGGATTTTGCATCTCTTATAACTGTATGGTCTCTCTTAGAGAAGAAACAAAAAAAACCAAAAAACCAGCCTTAAAAGTACTTAGGGCCTCTCTCAGCAATGGTACAAGCAGTTCAGGAATAGTACTCAAAGTAGGAGTTCCACAGAAGTTAACAACTCATCAGAGCATCACTTGTTCTATGCTAGAAGATTTTGCCAGACACTTAAGCATATTGTGCTCTATGTTTTTTTTTTTTTACAGACAGAAACAGTTTCCAAGGAAAAAGGGATTTTACTAGTTCAGCTTATTTACTTTTGAGATACTTTATTGTTATTGAAGATATTTAAGATATTCGATATATTCAAGTTTTACAGGTGACATATTTTCTCCTATAAACTATCTTCAGCATTAGGAAAAGGGATTGCTGGCATATCTATTCTTCCAAAACATGTAATAATGCTGAGAAAGTCCACTCCTTTCAATTAACAAAAATCTTGCTGTGCTCATTACAAAATCGTGTAAATAATAAATAAATAATTTAATAAAACTATAAAAACCTAGCCTAACAAAGGTATTTTCCTAATCTTGTTACCAAATTTATTAAAAAGCTTTTGAAATAGTACTGATTAACTTTTGTATTTTTTACTACCTTCAGAGAATGGACAGGTTTCCTCAGTACAAAGAAATCTTGCTCCTTGTGTGTATTTTGTTACAGTTCCCATTGCAATCACTATCCCTTCAGACATATAGAATCTTTGAGATGTGTAATTAAAGGGATTTGCAGAAAGACTCAGAACATAACTTGGTAAAGGTGGCAAATGTGTTGGTTTCAGCAATATACTTATCTAGCAAGAGATACAATTGCATTAATATAAAAACATTTTTATTTAAAACTGCTTTATTTTTCATGGACAAACAACATACATAACTAAAAATTTCAAAAACACATGAGTAACTAGGTTTCATATTAATTAATGTCACAATTGAAATATGGTTGGGTGAGTCTTCCAGCTGGTTTTAATTATAAATAATACTGCAACCAAAGGGAAAATGAAAACTTAATGCAAAAATATTTGTTAATATTTCACTATACTTAGAAAATTCAAGATCTAAATAGAGAAAACCAGTGCAGACTCACCTGGGCTTCTGTCTGCAGTTGTTCAATTAATGATAATGTCTTAATAGCTACAAAGCATACCTGTGATGGAAAAATTACTTCATTTTAGAAAGGAAAATATTTTTAAAATTTAGATGATGCACTTTTATCTACATATATATTACACACTTACTGACTGAAAAATCTGTGCAGCTTGTAGGGGATTATGAAGAATATAGTTTCCAAGAGTTGCATCCAATTCAGCAATGTCAGAAGGATTAATTGAAATAATGAAACGATAAACAGCATAACTTTGTTTTGAGTCTGTAGGAGCAAAAAGTATCTTAAAGTAACAGAGATTTGTGTAACACCATGTATCAATTTCACAGACTATCTGTTCAGTAATACCATTATATTTTTTGCAATCATGCACAAATTTCTGAAGGCCACCACTTCTGTCAAGGTAGACAAGGACAACTTCCTTCATTTTCTGTATTTCAGGATCCATCTTCCAAGATCTTTATGCTCTTTATCCAACTGTGGGAATAAACTGTGAAGAAATTATGGCAGCATTGGCCATGCTATAATAGTAATAATAAAGGTATGTATTAACAAAGCCATGCAAAATTAAAATAGTTTCTTCTTCAAACTGCAACACTTGAAGGATTTTTAAAATTCAGTTCAAAGCTCTTTCCAATGACTGAAGTGTACCCTATTTCTAGAGTAAATTTCTGAAAAATGCTCTAGTGTTTTCCTCAGTGAATTATTCCACTCTTCTAATTCCCTAATCCATGAAATTAAAGTTTCCATTTAATTTGACATCCCCTGTAGATTTTATAATCAGTCTATTAAAAGTAAGACTTAAAATTTTCTCCATTATTTGAGAAGTCTGTCATAGCTGTTAAAAGTGTGAAACTGGGAAACATCTCTTTTCTTAAAATCTGACTTTTCTACCCTGCTGTGATCTCATGTAGCGCACACCTAAGGTGCTGATCTTGCACTTATTTCCATGCATGTACACAGATGAACAATTCTGGTTCCCACTGACAAAGCTTTCACAACTACAATTTTGGTCTGGAGGCTAACTGTGCTCTTTAGTATGGTTTTCATTGCGTACTAGCTACGTAACTTTCTATTATTTTTAAGAGTAGAGTCTTGTACCATGAAGCACTACTTTGCAGAATTTAGGAGAATTACTAAGGCCAAAATATGGTATTTTGTATATATGCATCTGCTTTAATGTCTTTCATATTTTCTTCTGAAAAAATGTCCTTAATCCTCTCTGTGGACAACCAATATGAAACAACACTTGAATCTTCAAGAATAAAACTTAGCTACCTGGTAATGGGTAGGACATGGACTTACTGAGCTGATGAGGAGTCAAAGCCCACAGCATATGATATATTCCCTGCAGGAGTTCAGAGAAATTACATTGGGAGGACAAACAAATCAACATCCAAGAGGAGTAACTGGATTCCAGCTCAACTTCAGTTAGGCAGCAACGTAAACCCTGTGGCCTGAGAACTGTACACTGTGGGCTGGAATGTGTTTAGTGCCTGAAGTAAAAAGCTAAAAGATAATTTATAATAGGGATTCCCTCCCCCGGTGTCTTTGGGATTACACCTGCACAATTACTAATCCATCCACTATTTCTTGTTGAAATATTCAGCAAGAAGGGGTTAAAGAAATGTACACACATAGATCCACTGTATCTTCCTGGGTCCTGTGTTACCAGGGCTGGACACACGGGACACCACGTATGACAGAAAGGACTGAGCTGTGGTCCCGCTCACTGTGCACTGAGTAGCCGTCGCCTAAGTTTTGGAAAATAAAGCCTGACCAAAGTGATGGTGTTCACCAGTGTCGCCACAGCCAGCTAGGTGTCCCCACACAGCCAGGTGTGACTCGGCCCAGACACCCAGCATCTCCCTCCTGACTTCAGTTCCCTGCCATCGGCACCCCTGCCTCACAGACCTCTCCCCCAGTTCTTTACCAGACTTCCTACGCCCCGTCCTCCCCCGGCCCTGCTGGGGCGGCAGCAGCGGGGGCCGGGCTGCTCTCAGTTCCAGCGCCGCCACGCTGTTCCCTGTGCCCGCGGGGAAGGCGAAGGCGGCCCGGTCCGAGGCGGCAGCGAGGGCTCGGCAGCCGCGGGATGGCGCTCCCGGCGCCGCCCCCTCAGGCCCTCAGCCGGCGGCGCGGTGAGAACGCCGGCCCGCAGGGCTCGGCCGCGCCGGGGAAGCGCCCGTGCTCAGTGCAAGTCCTCAGGGAAGGCAATTCCCAGCCCACCCCACAGCCACAGCTACCCCAGCCCCGCGGCCACCACCGGGACTGGCGATTCGGCCTCACACAGCCATTGCCTTCAGCCACGGGCAGGGCGCTGGGCACGGGACATGGCTCTGTTTAACTTGCCTTTAGCATGCCAGCCACTCCCAAACTTACCTCTCCGGGAGGGAAACTCTGAGCTCTATCTGTGTCGTATTTCAGTTCACATTTTTACAACTTTTATGCATTTCAGTCAGTCCACCTTTCGTGTGGTCTCTCTCGTTCCCCCCGCCCCGCCGGGAGATCACAGACCACACCAGCAGCGCCGCTCCCGGCCTCCACAGCACTGGAGAAAGGCCTGCTCCTCACGGGGTGCTTGGGTTCCCTCTCCGCAAGGGGAGGAACAAACCCCCTTCCACTCCAGACAGGCAGAACAAAACCCCCTATACTAGTCACAAAAAGGCACATTTTGCCTTCCTTTATTACCTATCAGCCAAAACAGGAAAAGAGTAGCACAGTCGGTTCCTGTGCAGGTCCACTCTCCTCTCTAGGCTTTACCAAGTGTTTCCGATGTCTCTTTTTCAGCTCAGCCCTGGGTGAGGCAGCTACAACCCTCCAAATGCACGTCTTTGGAAACCATCCTCATGGGATGCACAGAGATGTGGAACAAGAAATACTGTGAGGTTTTATTGCCTGATGTTATACAGTCTGTTAACCTTTAGTTCAAAGAACTTAAGTACTTCAAGTGATATGCTGAACACATTCACACTTTGCCAAAAGGCAGAGTCTGCTGAAGGAAAAAGCTTAATAAGCAAATATTAAGATGCTCTCCAAGGAGCAACTTCAATTGCCACTTTTTTTTTTTCTTTTTTAAAGGAATGATCCCCTGAATTCTGACAAAAAAGAAAAAAATCCAAAACCCTTCATACATTCAGGCAGCTAGGTATGAACATTTTGGAATACAAGACAAAAATTAAAAAGAGTGCCAGTTCCCACAACAATTTCTGAAATATGCCCTCTCCTTCACATCCCTATACAGCACTGTACCTCCTTACCATAAAGAGAAGGTAGTTACAGTAGCCACATAATTTCACAACAATTTCAGGAGCATACAGACTAAAAATTCAGTACGAGAATGGATACTTTCTTCCTTACCACAAATCTGTTTTCCCAGTCCATCAGAAAGTCATGTTCAAAAAAATTAAATAAATAAAAAGAACAAAACAAAACCCCCAAAACCAAACCAAAACAACCGAACACCTCCCCCCCAACCCCAAAAGAACCCCAGGGCTGTTACTTCCATATTATTTTAATGTCAAGGAAATGATTCACATAGTTCTTGGTTGTCCTGAACAGCTTTTTTCAACCCTTGCAGAAGAGAACTATGGAAAATGAGTGCCAAGGCATCATTCTGCTCCCACAAATGATACAGTTCCTTCCTTCCTCCCCTGCCAATGCAGATTCTTACTTTTTACCCAAACACTTCTTCCAAAACCTCATGTAGCAACTGCTAAGCATCACTTAACCACTATGTAGAAAACTATGCCACAGAAGATAACCCTTGAGGTAACCAAGGAATCCTGTTTTACTTTCCACTCTTCTACATTATCAATGTATTGATACAACATTTACTTCAAAAGGATTATGATTTGATACACTCTCACCCCATGGTTCTCAATTCTTATCTGATCTTGATGTATAAGGAGTATTTATTTTAGCTGCTTATTTTGCCAAAACCAAGTTGACTTAGATACTGAAATTTATGTAACATTAATTCAATTTACGTATCATTATGATGTATCAGTATCTTACCATACTTCTCTGAAATCAAGGCATTTAACTGAATATATTTATGAACAAAAAGACACTGAACATTTTTGGAGTAACAGACAAAAATAAGTTGTTATTTACAAGTTATATATATAATAAACTACTACCATTATATGCCTTTTATACACTGTAACTGCAGTCAATTTTTGCATTGTTTAAAAAAAATTTCCTTAAACAGAAATTGTTCAGAATTATGTTTGTCCATACATGTGTATGAGAAAGACAATAGCTTTTCACATTTCTAAAATTATCAGTGTAATTTACATTTCCCCCCCAATATCAAGTGAAGATTTTAAAATGGTGCAAACTGGAACACTAAGACAAATAGCTATGAATGCTGAAATACAATCAATTTGGAACATAAGAGTGTTTTAAACTACCAATCCGTAAGAAAAATCCCTAATATTTGGCATGATCATCTCACCACCCACCCCCAAAATGTCAAAGCTAATTGACTTACTTTTAAAGTAACCATGATTATTGCATATCAGATCTTTGGAGAAGCAGAGCTTTAACCAAAAATACTTTTAATGTAGTTGAAATATAGACATACTTAGGGAAGAAAGAAAAGTAGAACACGTAATAAGTAATGTTATCAAATCAATCCAGTTAATTTGTTCCGTCCTTGCTTTGAGTAATCCCCCATACCTCAGACAATCCAGTTGAGTCAATGGGTACTTCAGCAAGTGCAAGAGCAACAATCCAGTTTTATGTAACCAAGTTTTCATTCTGCAGAAGTCCTTAAGATTCTTGGTCCTTAACTTACATCATTTAAGTGCTGACAGGTAAATTAACACATACTCCAAACTGGTAACAGGGAAAACATTTACCTTTTTTTAAACCAGGATATACAAAATACAATTTGCATAGTTACAATTCAAGCACAAAGTCACTGTAAATAAGTACAAAAGCATTTATAAATTTACTAAATTTGCTGCTGTTTGTGCCAGCCAAATTAGATAGGTATGAATGTAAACTCAAAGGGATTGAGGAGAACAGTCAGTGTTTTTGCTTAAAAAATATGTAGAGAATGCTTTTTAAAGGTTTTAAAAAATATTTTCTGCAGCAGGAACAAACAGTTCAAACCCCAAAGAAAGCCATCCAAAATGCCCAAATTCCTCCTATACAGCAGAGAAAGTCTGTTCATAGGTTTCAAACCTACATACAAGACGAGGCACTATTTACGCTATTTCGGAATGTGTCCATAATCCTAACATTTCAGTTCAACCCAAAACTTCCAAACCACTCTCTGCTTCTAAGTTCCTAGGAAAACCCATCTTCAGAAGGTGGTGCGTAAGAAAATCCAACAAATGCATCATCTGCCTCTAGGACACTGGCATTAACAATGTTGTAGTCAGAAGAAACACAAACTGAGTATGGGACCATTTCTTCTGTGAACACTGCATCAAAATTCCCAATATCATCAGGTCCAACCTAGGAAACAGAAGGATCTGTCAGTCATCAAATTAATACAGTGTTTTAAACTTGTGCCTATCCTTCAGATTCCAAATTTAACTCTTAAGGCTGTCTATTTTGTTGTTATATTCTATTTTTCTAAAAGAAATTTAAGGAAGCACACCACTCCAGTATTACAAGGCTAGGATTTTTTCATTTAGGTTAGATTTCATTAAATCCTATTTTCTTGATGATCTGATAAACTTAAAAAATATGAAAAGTCTCTCTTAGCGAGATTAGCTCAGTTGCTTAGAGCATGGTGCTAGGAACACCAAGTTTATGGGTTCAGTCCCCATATGGCACATTCACTTAAAAATCTGGATTTGATAATCCTTGTGGGTCCCTTTCAACTCAGAATATTCTGTGATCTGAGATGCAAACCATAACACCATTGCCGACCCCCAGGCACCTACCACATTAGGATTAAATGGTGGCGGAATCTTCTTCTGAAGAAGATCAGTCCAGCTGAGAGATTCAAAGAATGGGTGCTTCTGAATTTCAAGCTGCAGTGAACAAAGATTTTAGATAATTCATAATTCCATCCTGTGCTCTGTAGTAAACATTATTTCATATTACATGCACATAGGGAAGTTCTTATGTGCATGTCCTTATCAGTTTGTTTATTCACAATTTACTTCACAATAAAAGTTGTAGTCAGTAAAAACAGCAATTAAAATTTGTAAGACTGCCTCTGTAAACAGTTTTCCTTCCAAGATCATACTTTCTGCTTTTAAACTCTAAAATCAACAACCTTGAAGTCTACCACAGAGCAAGAATTTTTTTTCTGCTAGTATGTGTTCCTGCCTTAAAGTTTTGTTAGTTTTTGTAAAGCACATCTCTGTCTGAGAAGCAGCTGCCTCAACAACTCTGCAATATATTTAATATTTAAGAAGCAGCAAACAGCAATCCTAAATCCTTTCATCTTGCTCAGTTACAAGGTCCAGTTACATAAGGCCTGCAAACCAAAGACTATAAAGATCCCACCACTAATGGATGGAGTACATACTCTAGATCTTTCTTCATCACACAGTTCTGAAGACACCAGAAACTTTCTCACATCAACTTTCTGCCAACAAAGGTTTTGTTGCTTCACCAGGAAGATGTCTGCCATGATTTTAAGGCTAAAAAAGAGCTGCTGTTTGCAGCTGAAAACTTTACCTGAAAACTGGTTTCCAAATCATTAGTATTACCACATGACAGCCTTTTCTTTTGATTATTTCCCAGTTTCACTATGAACAGTGAAACCTACTTCTGTGCACCTTAGTGACTGTTTTTCCTTTGCTGGCCAGTACAGCAGCAACCAAGCTCAAAATACTCCAATCATTGCTCTCTTACCCCCAGCAACTTCCAGTGATAGACCCCACTGGTGCCTTTACTGAAGAAATAAAAAGGAGGAAAACAGAGACAGATGCAGCAATGCAATTTCTATCTCCAACTATTAATCCCGTGCTGTGCACATTAATTTGGTGAGTCCCTTTAAATGAAATAGGGTTTGATAAACATTACTTACAAAGTCTTCCCTTGCTCCAAGTCTGCTTTGCCGATCTTTCTCCAAAAGTTCTTCCAGGATAGACCAGGCTGTAAGACTGATTCCTGGGCGCAGAACCAGGGGTTTATGAAGAATATTATCGTACATCTCAGCAACATCACGGCAGTAAAAAGGAGGCTAAAAAAATACAAGTTCTACATGAATTTGAAGCCACATGCAATGTTGTTTTGTATGTTACATATGATCAGTAAATGATTCTGTAAGACATACAAGCTGCTAGCAGTGAAGCAGAAATCTCCTTTTTATGCACTGCTAACTTCTAATTCAGTCATGGCCACTGCCAGAACTTTACACTTGTTAACTTCCCACTAACCGCCTCCTTTACTCCTAATGTGTTCTCACACTCCTCAGTAGCCATAGATGCCATTCAGCTTCAAAGCTCCCACTGAACTTGCCTGAAAAGAACCTGAGAACGGGAAAACAAATCCATCTCCCTATTTAAGGTCCTAAGGGAGGAGACAACTTGAGAAAACTAGAACAGATTATTAATGGAGTAATTACATATGACTAGAAGCATAGCAAGATTCCTTTGTTCTAATGCTGTCAAAAGCTAGGAGAAAACCTGGGATACATAAATAAAATGAATGCCTTTTAATTTTACTTATTCCAGTATTTGACAAAATTTTACTTATAAGCTGTTTTTTTTATTATTGTGTATTATCACTGTTGATTTAATTTACTCTCAGTCCCTCAAAGTGATGACTACTGATTTTGCTGATGACTACTGATTCTGCTGATGTCTACGATTTTGCTTTTCCATGAACTGTCAGACACCAAGAGGCGAAGTAAAATCCAAAAGAGAAAAATAAGTGCTGTGTTAAGTACAAAACAATTTGTTAATCTGCTTAAATGGAGTATTCAATATTATGAACAAGTTAGCATCTTTAACAACACTCAAAGGTTACTTCAAATAAAAGGGGAGAGGAGAAGAAAGCAACCTTTACATATAAGGTACATACCAGCCCATAAAGCATTTCATAAAGAACTGCACCAAGGCACCACCAGTCTACTGTGTTGTCATAGGGCTGCTTTTTAATGACTTCTGGTGCAAGATACTAAAATGAATAAAAAAAAGTAGTTTAGAGAATTAGGCTAGCATGGATAAAACCTAGGGCGCAGTCACTTCACAGTGACTACACTTCCAAGAAAAGTTGCTTCATAACAATCAAATGTTTCAGCTAAATACTACATCTCACTCATTTTTCACTGCCTTCAAAGGTCTTTTCCTGTAATTTAAAGTATGTTTATCAAATTACCAAAATTTCTAATTCTCTGTTCAGTGAATCCATCATACATGTTCAAGCCTTCCACATTCTAAGTTTTCCAGTGTAGTTTTCCCAGTAAAAAGACAACAGAGTTCAATAACTCAGTCAGCAAGTTCAAAGTTTCATGCACATGCAATAATTTCCTGAGGCACAGATATTAATTCCCTATAAACCTACTAGGAATCAATGGCAGGATATGGTAAGTAGATTTATATTGACAAATCTGTAGAAGCTGTTATACCCAGCCGTTAGGAGACATGGGAGAAAACAGTATTTGAAAAGGGCTGGAGAAACACAGTATGGAAGAGATGAGGCATGGCCATGTGAGTAGCAAGCAGTGGACACTGTGTATTAGTAAGAACAAAGAACAGATCTGTAGGGAGCGTGTCTTTAGTTTGATTTCAGCTTGTTAAAAGAATGCAAACCTCCCAGCAGTACAAAACACAATATTTGACCTTCCAGTTACACAAACAGTAATAATAGTCAACAGTCATTTATTACTGATAAAAAAATCCAAGAAAGTTGTCAACATACTTCTGGGGTCCCACAGAAAGTTGCAGTGGTATCAGAAGTTGCAATCCCTTCTTTACAAAGTCCAAAGTCTGTCAACACAACATGACCCTGTTTAATAAAGAGTGATATGTTAAAAAGAGAACATGCTCAACATGTGAATACACAGAAGTGTCAATTTTGAGAGAGAACACAGAAGACAGAAATAATCTTGCATACTTACTAGTGAATCTAGGAGAATGTTTTCTGGTTTTAAATCCCTAATAAAAAAGAAAAGGTAAAAGTAAACCAAAACAGCAGTCACAAGTGCTTCAGAGGCAAGGGGTCTTACTATTCTTCAGCTGAAAGCTTGAAGTTTTGGTGAAATTGTTATGTTCAGGCTTCTGGTAAGATGATTTCTTGTAGAGTTTTTGTTTGGTAATTTTTCCCATTTTGAATTTCTTCAGGACAAGGATACATTTCAGAAACTTACCTGTACACTATATTTATGGAGTGTAAGTAGCCCAGTGCACTGGCTATTTCAGCAGCATAAAATCTGGCTCTGTGTTCAGGAAAGGAACGTTCTCTTTGTAAGTGAAAGAACAGCTGTAAATATGCAAATAGGAAATAAGAGTATTACGCAGACAAAACAAATCAGGTTAATAACACATAATTTTACAGTGAAGAGTAATTTATTTTGTTGTCCACTTTTGTTTTTGTTTTTTTTTTTTTAAGATGAAACAGATTCAATGAAAGAGAATTCAATGAAATAGAATTGGTTTTACTGCATGACTTAGTCATTACTTTAGACTCGTCCCTGCTTCTCTTTTGTAGCTCAGATGTATAGGTAACTAAAACACATTCCCTTAAAATCAGGACTAGTCAAAAGGAACTAGAGTAAATCACTAAGCTGTGAATAGAAGTTGGCAAGACTAAATCATGCAGGATTGCCTCCAAGCAGAATATAACCTGGTGTCAAATAAGTCATCTTTCAGTTCTGTAAATGCTTATATTCAAAGATTTGCATAATTATTTATAGAACTGTATTCTGAAATAATCTAGATGTAGATCACTGTGTGAGATGTATATTCCAAGCTGATCCATCAGTTCTACTAGAGAATTGTCTGTCTGCAAATAATTCGAGCACATACAAAAATCTAGACAAAGATTAAATCATAAACACACAAATACAATTACACTGCACACTCAACTTGTAAAGATTTTAAGAAAAATTAAGTTTTCTGCTTTCTGCCTTCAAAGTTCAAGAAAAATAAAAATCCACCCCAGCTTTCTGTTCAAATTTGAAAGCTGTTTTGAACTGTACTTTATTTTGCCTGAAACAATACAAAACTAAAGTCTGGCCACAATTCAGAGTAGAGCAAACCAGGATTTTGCTAATACAGTGTAAGCAAGGTGACAATGCATTCGACGAGAGAAATGCACATCTTGTCCTAACTCTGACACAATATAATAAATTCAGCTGTCAGTTTCCTTTCTTCCCCTTTTGAAGTATCAACATCTCAGTTAATGCAGAGGAATGCAAGAGGAAGACAGTGTTACACGGTGAAAAATGTAATCATAAGATTAATTTGTAAGAAAGGTAAATTTATGTAACTGTAAAACACAGTATTTGTATCTGACAAGCATTAATAAATTTGGATTGAAGTTGTCAGTAAGAACAGGAACAGGGTCCAAATAGCTGCAGAAGTCTGCAGCAACAGCAGGTAATAACAGGATTTTCAAAATTGGGAGACTGCTGATCACAGCCCATTGTAAAGGATCATTTTGCTCCTCCCACCTAGAATTAGCAGAATAGACAGACTGAAAAGCAAACAGAACCACCACATACCTCTCCTCCATTAACAAAATCCAAGACAAAGTAAAGCTTTTCTGTTGTTTGGAATGAGTAATGTAATCCAACCAAAAATGGATGTTTCACATTTTTCAAAAGCACATTACGTTCAGCCATAATATGTTTTTGCTGCAAGAAGTAAGAGATCAATAAGTAAACAGGAATGATTTTGTAATTTAGGGAAAAAACAAGGGAGGTGGGTGGAAAAAGACTGTTTCTCTTAACCTCTTTCCTGTTGAGAACAATTTTTTTCTGCAACACTTTGACAGCATAGTATTTCCCATCCAGTTTTCGTTTTGCAAGAAGAACCTGTGAAATTCAAAAAAAGGAAGAAATGTGATTGTTGCAGTTTGCATACTATTAGTAATATTTTATCATTTCAGCATAACTGGAAAGTGTTCATGCAATTTTTTCACAATAAAGTTTCTTTGCTTCTAATACATTTAATTGACAATGTAACTGCCAATAGAGAGAGTTTACAGTTCAGTAAAAACTTATCCTGGCAGTGGTATCATGAAAGACTGAATTGTACCTTTTGTTTTCCATGACCTGCTGAATCTCTATCAAGATCAATTTCATCCTTTTTGGGGCATAAATTTTAAAGATAATTGAATGAAAACTGACAACACAAAAAGTAACTTGGAAATGGAGATTTCAAAGGGATTCTCTTTGGCATCTGTGTAAAACATCAACAGTTAATTCACTTTTCAATGTGTTGTTGCTCACACTGCTCCATAGTATCAGAGGTTTCACAAAATAGTCCATGACAACAAGAGGAAAAGGACGATTTGTACTCCAGCTGCTGCATAAGCATAGGGGTACCTCCCTTCCTCCCTGGGGGAAACAGAGGATCCCAACTGCTCGTAATGAGAAAGGGAAAATCTCCCTTTTATTAGTCCTAACAAGTGGCTGAGGCAGCTGCACCAGGGAAAAAATGGCAGAGCCACAAAGCAGCAGCAACAGGGGTCCAACAGAACAGTTTATAGGCCACCCTAGAGCAACTCCACTTCTGGAACCTCTGGCCAAGTCTCCAGTCACTATGCATGAGAAACCAGCGAGCATCCTTGCACCACCATAAGACACAGGAATAAAAGCTCACCTTGCCAAAGCTGCCTTTCCCAATAACTTTCAGGAAATCAAAGTCTGTTGGTTTAGCACTGAAAGATATTTAGGAAGGAGACAGGTCATCTGGGTAGAAATTACAAGCCTTATAGCTGTACAGCAGTGTAGTGTAGCACAGCAGCCCGTAAGCACTCTCCTTTTCTTTGTTCCACCCAGAAGCACTGCTTCTGCAGACCCGTCCTCAGACACAACTCCTCTTCATTTTGCAATTCCATTTTCCTCTAGGGGAAGTGTTCAAGTTGTATCCTCTGAGTTCACTTTATTTACTGAGTTTAACCTTATGATGTAAAGGAGAAACATGACCATTCTTTCATTCTCCATGGTCTAGCTACTTGTAATTTTTAAGTCTCTATTTCCCCATGATGTCTCCTGGAGCTTACTTCCAGAGGTCCAAATGGATTCTAAACTTACATGAGGAAAGGAAGGACCAAATTTGTTATCTATTCCCTCTTATTTTTAGCTTTTTTCCCTCCATCCAATCCTCCCTTGTTTTAAATTTCAGTAAGAGGAGGGAGGTCTTAACACCTGCCTCTTCTTGGTGTTTGTATGAATTCACTCTCAGTTTTTCCATTTCCCACATCACCACTCCTTTCAGTTTTTCCCAGGATTCCCTTACTCTTTCCTGAATACAATTCTGTCAGCAAAACAATTATCCGTGTTTTCAAACTGCAAAACAAGTTACATCACCATACACCTCTCTATTTATTGCCCCTGAAGGGAAGGACTCTTGTATTTCATTTCTTACTGCAATCTATTAACCACTTCCTCCTGCTAGCCCAGAACAAATCTGTGAGGAAAGCAAAACCAAATTAGCAGTCATCTCCTTGAGGAGAAAAGCAGATTCACACAGAACTGAGAACAGAAACTCTGCAGAAGACATGGAAGAGAGACACAAGTTACCACTGCAGTAACTGTAGCACCAACAAGGCAAGTTGCTCCTCTGGCATGCAGTAAACCAAACTTGTTTTCAAAAGCTATGGGACCACTCCCAAGGTCATTCTAACTTTTCAGGTTTTAAAATTAATTTTAATCCCATTTAATTAAGTTTTAGATTTACATTAAATTGGATTACATAAAATTCAATTTAATTGAAACCTACTGAGGATTTCCAGATGGTCCCAGGTTGATATTCTGTGAGGTAGAGTTTAACTGTTGGGAGAAACAAAGAGGTTTACTTGTAATACCTTTTCTTCTCTCTTATTTTTCAACCAATGCTAATTTTAAAATACTCTGCTAATCTGCTCAATCCATACTTTTACACTTGTTACACTAGAATTTTAAAGAGATCTAACATCTAGATTGGGAACTGAAATACCCGGCCATCATCACCTTGTCACAAATTCTTTGTACACACATCCTGTTCAAGGATGAAGGTAATAAAATATCCGTGTTCATTCAGAAAGGAAAAGATCAGAAATAAAAATTGAAGATTATTTCAATAAACAACTTGTTCCTCATTCAGAACTTAACCCTTTCTGTACCTGCTTCATGAACATATTTTCTACCTTTTCATTCCAAATTCTCCAAGTTCTTATTAATACAATAATTCTAAACCCTCTTTATGTTAGAGTAATTAATGAAAGACACAGTGCTTTTAAAAACATGGAAATGAACATTTTTCCAATCCCAAGGAAAACATTACCAACCTTTTCTATCCTGACATTAAAGGTTAAATAACTCAATTCCTGGAATTCCATGAATCTTACTGGTACACACCCAGGCAGAATTTGTAAATTACAGGGAGCAGAGGAAACCACTGTCATTTACGTGATTTTCTCCATTTTGTTTCTGATTTAGAAAAGCAGTATTTGTACTCTCATTGTGGTTCTGGAATTTATCAGAGAAGAATAAACTGCACTCAAATATAAGTTACCTAGGGACAGGCTGCCAGGCAGCACAAACCCATACTCCTGAAGTGGAAAATGGCCTGACAGTGGCACAGGATGCCACTACTCACTGAAATGAGCCAGTGGTACTGGACAGCTTTGAAAGAGCTACTATAAAAAAGATTTTTTTTTTACTGAAGGCTTTTTTTTTGTTGTTGTTCCTTGTTGTTTGGCTTCATCATTACAGTAACCATAAGGTGAATTTTCCACCAAAAATATGGGGTCCTGGCCATTATGCAGTAGCTCTCCTTCTGGAATTTGCTGTGATATGACACATCATTAATTTTCCACAGACAGTTTATATCATTCCCCATTGCTTAAAATACCTTTCAAAGGAGGAGGAAACTGGTATTTTAAATTAGTGACTTTGGAAATGAAACTTCCAGAACACACTAAATATCCCATGGATCAGACACAAACTGAAACAACTCTTACATCTTTAACAGGGGCTGAATAAGAAGAGATGTATTAATATCACATCTTTACACCAAGTAATAATAGAGAAGACAAGCTTAAATATGGCACTTCTGCCTTCCTAGAAATACTCCTTTTTTTCAAACAGCACTGCTTCTGGAGGCTGTAAACTAATTATCACAGAATCCATCCAGCTATATAGTAGCTTCTTTGATGAAAGAAAATTCAGACCTCACACAGTGTTATATGTGGAATGAAATCAAATCCATCCTTGCTCCTAAGTGACTTTTAGAAAGACTGCATTTTTTCCCCTGAGAGAATTCTGTTTCTCCCCATCTTTAAAAATGAAGAACACACAAGCAAACAAAAAGACAATTAAACATTCAATCTCCCCTGCTCCTTGCCAGATGTTCTTAGCAAGAACCTTTAAACAGACTGCAAAATCTCTGACAGCAAAGCTATGACTAAAGTCGTTTCTTTAACCCATATAGCAAGGGGGGAATAAGCAAGACAAAGCCAGCAATCACTTTTACTCCTCCCTGCAGTTCACATCTGACAGAAAAACAGCTTACAGCCCACAGTGGAACTGAGTTGTTTAAAAGAACAGGAAGGGGATTTATTGCAAAACTTAGTAGTAGTTTTCAGTAAATAATATACCTAAGAAGATTGCCCTCAAGTACTAAAATTTATAAGACTATTCTACTTCTGTTTTATTACCTTCCGACTGCTCCTTTCATCTTCATCTTCAGATGGATCCGACTGGTGCTTTGGGTTGTCCATCTGAAGAAATGCTCTGACATCTGGGCTAGAAACACAAGTTAACTTTATTAGCACACCAATAATCTGCATGATTTTCAGCCAGAAACACAGAGCATAGAATTGAACAGCAGCATACAGAGGAGTTACTCATAACTAAGTTTTATATTTAAGTTCTGGTAATTAAGGACTGTGTACAAACAATACTTTCTTTTAAAGCAAAATAATTCAACTGCCAAGTGTGTTATACAGCACAAACCTTTTCACTTGCAAAAACCTTAGGAAAAGATATGTATGTGAAGACTTCAGAAGGGAACACTGCAGAACTGCATTCAAAGATAATTATCAGAAGAAAACATGAGTTCTAACTGGCCAGCAGCCACCCTTCCAAAAAACTGAAGAGTTGAAATTTTTGTTTTCTAAAATTAATTGAATTGTCCAATGCAATAGGGAATGAAATACATCATTTGTATCCAAAGGAAAGACACATGTTCCAAGAGATACACAGCAGTAACGTTCCTCTTCTCATTTGCTTTAAAGCAGAAGATGGTGATCTTGTATTCAGAATTCTTTCAGACTGGCCACTGTCAAAACAGGGTTAAGAAATGCTTCCAGTCAGCTGCAGGACACAAATGCTTCAGGAATTAGTGACAGGCTTTCCACAGTACCTAAGGAGATGTATTTTATATTCAGCAGCTTTCAAGATCTCTCTTGATGGGGCTGGAGGAACAAGGACTGAAAGGAAGTAAGAGAATTCTAAGAACATTAATTTCTTCTTCCAGGAAGACAGGCTTGTCCAACATATCAAAATAATGTAACATCTTTCTGAACCACAGCACAGTGCAAGTAAAGAATCATGTAATACAACTAAGGAAAAATTAATTCCTAAAAAAATGGGTATTGTGTATAGCCTGTATAAACCACTTCAAGAGATTATTCGAATCTTTAAAGCTCCTTCAGTTCACTAAAAGGCAACCTTCTTATTGAGGAAGAAATCTTACCTACATTTCAGAGACAAAGTTGTTTGAGAAGGACTCAGGGCAGTCACTAATACAAAACTACACGAGTCATTCAGTACAAGAAAAGCACTATCTTATTATGCAACTGCTCTTTTAGTCTGTCCCTAGAATATATAAAATATGGTAGATTTATGTAACAAACAGATGTACTCACTATTTTCAATACATTCACCTTCCCCATCTCTGATCAGTGAGGAGCAGGAGTAAGAGATGAGCTGTTTCTGACACGTCTCCAGCTCCTGTAATTTCCTGTCTGGGCTACTGAACCTACCTCATATCCTAGGCTACGAGGCTCCCAGTCTTCATCACTTACATTCTGTACACCTATGTCCTATTTGAAATATGTTTCAGTTACCTTTCAGGTTTAAAGCACAGCAACAAGACTGTTCACATAATTTTCCACCATCATTTCAGTTTAATACTTCCTATTTCATATAAACTCCAAATTCTGATCTATTTCTTGTCTTGTATCCTGAGGCCAGGAAGACAAAAATCACAGTGGTTTGAACATTGTGGTAATACTGGGTCTTGATGCAACAATTTAAGTTTCAGAATGTTTGTCTATCATAAAATCAAGAATAAAAAGTTAAGGTTAATGCTTTTCACTAGACAAAACAACAGAAACAGACCTTGCTTACCTTTCAGCATTAATTATTCTGGACAACTGGCTGATTAAATAGAGCATGTTGTAATACCTCTCAAATAGTTACTATAGTAACTTTGTTCATGACTGAATTCACAGCAGGAAAAACATAAAAGTATCAATTTACAGGAAAAGGCTGCTGTACAGTTGCAGGTATTCCATAATGTCCACAATCCACAATAGCCAGAACCATAACTGGTTGATGTCACACTGTTTACATTTGCAATTCTAAAAGCACTGCAAAGAACTACTGATTAAAAATAAAAAGTTTAGTATACCAATTTCTTAGGCAAGATTGCAGCGTGCTAGGCAAAATGCTACACAGATTGATAGGACTTCTATGCTATATTAGCTCACATGGATTAAATCAATGTAGTTTAGGATACATAGAAATGACTCCTAAAATAACCTCACCTATGAAATTAAAAGGATTGAGAAAACCATTTCAAAAGGGAGGCTTCAATATACATTGTACATACACTACCAGCAAAAGTTGGTTTTGTCTGGATTTTTATGATTGACAGAATAAATTTGTTTTACGGATTATCTCTGAAATACACAAAAGGGTGTCAAGCTCTGCTTAAATACAGTTGCTTATGTAATACTTATTCTGCATAAGTCTTCCTGCAAAATCAATGTAATACTGCACAAGAAATGTTGGACACACCGAAACATGAGCAAACCCAAAAAGTCACACAGATTTTAAAGCAAAATGTTAGAATTAATAGCCAGTGACAGTAACTTAACATTTAAGACACACTTTATTTAAATAATGGTGCCCAGCTCCTCCCTCTCCTTGCCACATTTTCTTAAAAAGTAAACCACTGATATATTTCTTACAGAAAGCAAAGGTTCAAAAAGCCCTAATACAGAAAAGCACAATAACACGTTGAAAAAGGACAATACTATAATGCAAGCTTTGCTTTCCCCAGCATGGGCTGCAAGATCCTACAATTCAGGGGTTTCCCATTCACTTTTATATTAATCAGATCATGGAATCAGAAAAAAATTGTGATTGATTTTCTTCTAAGAAACACATTCAAACCCTGCTGATAACTCATTTCCCCACAGGTTGCAGGGTATTGTCATCTTTGAGTTCTTCAAGTGTTATGCAAATGTTCTCATTCTCATTAAGGAGCTACTTTGGACTATTTAAAAATAACTGCATTACATCTTTAATGCATCCTCTATTATAGCTGTTTTTCAAACAGGTTTTCTTTGGACATGTTCTGATAGACATCAATTAAAGGCATTAATACTTCAGTGAAGGCCTACATTTGAGGGGGTGAGCAGCCCACTTTCAGGAGCTGTGTAGTGTTTTAGGGAGGCTCACAGTGCTCACTAGGAACAGACTCCTTAGCTCCTATTAACATCAGTCAGCAAGGGTGACACATCATCAGATCTCTATCCCTTTTGCCCTACCTTTTCTTGGAACACCTGCATTCTACCCATGAGAGAAAGCTGTCTATCACAGTAAGTTTGCTGAGGAAATCCAGGTTGAAGCTGGTCCACTTAATTCCCAATTTGGACTAAGCCAGTCATCTCACCCTGTATTCCACCTGACAGTGACTGCAGGAAAATCCTTACCAACAGTCACACGGTCTCTCTAAGCACTCCAATACACCTTAGGTTCTTCTTGGATTTTTTAATTGAACAAAAAGGTTTGGCTTTGATGTAACATTCAAGAAATGCGCCAGACTGAAGAAAGAAAGTCCACTGATGGAATGTAAATATCACCATCTTGGGCACACTGAATCTGACATTTGTGCTTTTCACTTCAGATGTTCCGGTGCCTTCCCATTGAGAAATGAGAACACCTTGAATCATCCTTAAGCTTTTAATGAAACAATTTTCCTAAGCAGGACTTAAAATATACTACATGAGGATACTGGTTTTAATGTTTAAAAGATGCTGAGGTGCAGGTGGATTTCCTAATGGTTCTGTGAGAATGCAC